AGACCCTCACCTGACGTAACCCATACATGACCCCTCACAATACCCTTGGAAATCACCCACAAGCTCGGAGAACGAACCTCCACTTCAACACCTGTGTTGACCATCCCATGGGAGAGATTGCATGGGAAAGCACAAATATATATCTCACAGAGAGAATCTCTCATGCTACTTAAATTGGAGTGGAATAGTTCCTATATCGTTACTAAAATGAGAGAAGAGAAAGCAGACCTTGTCCTTACTCATAGAATATCAGCAGTGTTCATTGCCTGCTTTTTAGAAGCGATTGAATAATCCCAAAGCCCTTTCATCATCCATTTCTCATCTCCTTTTGTGATTTCTGTGATATTTACATTTGTGGCAGAAGAAAAAGATTTCCTGTCACTTAAAATGCATGAAGGTGGGGCCTGGGGGCAAAGGTTCCCAAGCATTAAACCTCCCTTTAATATGTTGCTTAAAGCTAAGTAGCTGGTGATGCCTCTCCCAAGTAAAGTGCAGAACATCCCTAACCAGATAGATCAGGGATTTTCAACCTTTTCACCCATTGTACCACTTTTAGAATATGGCAATATCCAAGTACCACTAGTCACCTAGCAAGGTGTCAAAAACTTGATGACAAAAAAAAATGGCACTGAAAAAAGTGCCCCCGAAGCCACAGCCGAGCCAGACACCTGCTTGCCCGCCCGGTGATGCTCTTCCTCCTGTCCAAGGTTTCCATTGTTTTGAGCATTTCTGTTGAGGATTGGCAGCGGGGGTGGGGTGGGGGGTGTTTGATTTTTATTCCCCCCGTCTGCTGGGTGGTTGCAGCAGGTTTTGGTCACTTCACATGACCCTGGGACACTGTGACCGTCATAAATATGAATCGGTTGCCAAGCATCTGAATGTAAATCACAAGACCCTGGAGAGGCTGCAACATTCCAGCTCATTGGCGCTTCTTCTGGGCTCAGGAAAAGCACCAGGATCAGTGTTGCTTTCCAGCTGATTGGTGCTTCTTCAGGGCTCAGCGGAAGCACCAGGATCAGCGCCAAGCTCCAGCTGGAGCCTGGCGCTGATCCTGGTGCTTCCACTGAGCCCTGACAGCCCTGCAACTCCAGCCAGCTCTCGCTCAGGCTTATGCGGTGCTGCCACCGGTTCAGCTCATTCCCCTCCCCTGCTACCACTTTTCTAGGATGGTCGCGTACCACCTGCCAGGTGCCAATGTACCACAGGTGGTACCTGTACCACTGGTTGAAAAGCCCTGAGATAGATTATTTTGGCTCACAATACTGTGACTTGTAAGACTATTACTGTCTGTACATCCATTCCTTCATCCCAGACAAGTTTTCCCAGACGGTTATATAACTAACAACCTGATGTCAAGTGCAAGAAGTCAGGAACCAGGATGTAGTTCAAAAGTACTACAAGTTTACTTCATGCTACCTACACACAAGAATCTGAACCACTAACGGTCATGGCAAATTGGCGCCAGATAAGAAACGATGGACTTCATGGGGGGCTGGACTTAGGTCTCTTAGGGGGTTGTACAGGCTCCAAACTGATAAAGCATTTAATTCTGCCCTTGGGATCAGCCTGGTCATCTCCTACATCTGCTGCCCTTTCATCACCTCCTAAAACCTTTTGCCCGAGGCAGTCCACACAGTTTTCCTGCATGATTCTTACGTCCCAGTTCAGCTTCCTAAAATCCAACATGAAATGAAAACATAACTCATAAACGTTTTAGTTAGAATTCAGCTACATTTCTATACAACATCATCCTTTTTCTTCCTTTGTGCGTATAGGTGTTTTACATGGAAAATGTCTCTGAAACTTTGTGGCAACCTGTGGTGTCCATACTCTCTGAAACTATAATTTCCACAAGAGTCCGTCTGTTCTGACATAGTAAAGATTTATGACTTTAGGTAGGAAATAACTGGCATGGAGTGCTGTTAATATGTATTGTCAGTTCATTCAAAATATCTGTGGTTGCCTAACCCAATTTCATAATGTTTGTTATGATGAATATTTCAGGTTATGCACTGTCTGGAGATACCATACATATTTCTAGCATCACAAGGATGGGTATTTCAGTTTCAGCTTTAGCTGTATGTTAAAACCAACCACATTATTTAAGCTATGCTGAATGTTTTACAATTCATTTTCCTTTTTGCATCCTCCCTTCCTTAAGAGTCATTCTGAAACAAACAGATTATTGGAAAAAAGTCTTAAGTTGCAAATAAAACTCCCCTCCCCATCCAAATTTCCGATCTATAATGTAACTCATTATTAAGTTGATCAACAGCTCTTTCAGTCTCACTCTCTTAATATCCCACATTTCAAGTCTTAGTTTAGTTCTTCGTTATTATGAAGAGGACATTTTAAATACGATAATCTTTTCTTTTTATTTATTTATTTAACTACATCTTGCCTTTATTGTTTTTTAAATAACTAAAGGCAGCAAATATACTTGATGCTCCTTCCACCTTCTATTTCCTCACAACAACACACCTTTGAGATGGATTGGTCTGAAGGAGAACAGCTACCTTCCCTACTGAGTTTTCTTAGGTGAAGTTGACAGAGCATCAGAAATCCATCCTTTCTTCCTTCCTTCCTTCCTTCCTTCCTTCCTTCCTTCCTTCCTTCCTTCCTTCCTTCCTTCCTTCCCTCCCTCCCTCCCTCCCTCCCTCCCTCCTAAAAAATTTAAGTTCAATAATAAAAATTAATACAAAGACAAAAAGAAAAAAAGAAAAATACAAGGAAAAGAATAAAAGGTGCAAGAAAGCAAAGAAAGAAAGAAAGAAAAATAGAGAAAATAAAAACCTAAAAAAGACATTTCCCACCCTCATCACAACAGTATAAACAATTTCACTATTTCTTCACCTCCTCTTAGTTAACAAATATAAAACTCTTCATCCTGTAAATCATTTTTTAACTATAGCTTAAAGAACATCATTTCCAATCCACGTGTCAGCAAAAAGTCCAGAACCCCCAAACAGTCACATTCAGTAACAGATACGAAACTCATCATTCTGTATCTCAACCCTTAACTGTAAGTAAATCCCATACGTAACATCTTTTCCAGTCCACATATCAGCAACTCTAGCAATTCTTAACTATAAGTAAGTCCAATAAAGATTTGCCACCACACCATACTTCCTGAAGACTTTTCGTTTAATTATACCAAGCCTTAAATAGTCCATTTGATTTAAATTAAATACTGGTGGGATTGAAAAGTTCATTTGCATAAGAAGAATTTGCCAGTGTAAGTCTAAATGGTTTTAGAAAGCCCCATTGCATCTTATATTCAACAAAGAAGTAATCAAATTGCTCGCTGTAAAGCAGGAATGGGATGCCAGATGTTGGTGAATTAGAACTTCCAGCATCTCTTGTTATTATTGGCTATGCTGGCTGGAGGTTCTGATGCTTTATTGGAATTAATTGCTAGCAGTAGTCTTGATGAAATGTGACATGCATGGCAAAAGGAAAAATATAGTTGCATGGGTTTGTAACATAATCGTTTTGTTTTCTCTTGTTCAGAGTCCTTTGTTTTTTGCCCAACAGAAAAGAAGACAATTGACTACTTGAATTTTTTTAGATTATTTGCTTCTTTACTGTGGCAGCTGGCCACAAAATGACATGTCTGAACCATCAAGGAATACTTCTGTCCACATCAACTAATCAAAGATTGACTGTTCTGGGAAACAATAATGGTTTACCCTATCATAGTTTCATATTCCTTTTGCAGTGCTTCATGCTGTGGGTTCGTGTGCCTAACTATAACCGGAGACTTCTGTTTGCACCACCTTCTTTTTAATATTGATTTTTTTAAAAAGATCTTTTAATTATTGGAGGCTAGTATGTTGCAAATCTAGTGCCAATTTCTAGCATCATGTTTATTACCAAGAATACTAGGTACTCCTAATTAGTTTCTTTAAGGTTTTTTCCCCCCAAAAAATAAAAATGGTGGTAGGTATGTCCATCTATAGATTTCTCCCCAGGATAACTCCTATTCCTCCTGCTCACATGTGAGTTTTGATGGTGTTATGCCTTGGGTGTTATACTGCCAAAAGAAAGGTAGAGGAATAGAAGGAGAGTCCCCAATAGCATAGAGGCATAGAGCCTGGTTACCTGAGGGACTGTCTGTCTCAGTTGTTTTTGCCTGCCTGGCCTGTTCAAGCAGAGTAGGTGCATTCCAGATCCCTTCAGTTAAATACTGCCATCTTGTGGGACCAAGGAAGTATGCCTTCTTTCAGAGACCCCCACTCTCTGAAATAGCTTTCTTCCCAGAGGTGTGGGTGCCTCCCCCACCCGTATTCCTGAACCCCTTAAGACCTGGTTCTGTTCCCAGATCTGAGGTTAAAGTGGTTGTTATGTATTTATTGGTAGGATCCCTGTCATATTTATGTGCTGTTTATTGTTCTAGTTGTTTTTAGCCCAGGCTGTCTGTTTATGTGAGTTTAACTGTCTTCATTATTTTAATGGGGTTTTTTTTTGTTTTGGAGTGGGTATCCACAACAAATCTAATAAATAAATAAGCTAACATTAATTGAAAAAAACCCCCACTAACTCTATCATTGATCGCTGTGAATAATTTGGGGAACATTCCATGATTTTATATGCCAAATGAGTAATATGGGATTGTTTAAACAAGAAAATAGAAAAAAAATTCAAATGTAAAGTCTCTATTCTGCAGATGGAGGTAGTGTGCAATTCCTATCAACAGAGGATTCTCATCCTGCTGCGTGTTTTGGTCCAGCAATTCAACTTGATAAGTGTCACAGAGATGCACTGAAGCATTTCAGACTATTTATCTTCCTTACTCTTTTTTGAGATAAGGATTGCACTGACTAGAAATAATTCCTTGTGGACGCAGCCTCTGTTTTCCTGCCTGCAACCTGGTACAATACAGTACATTGGGACTGACACATCTTTCTTGTGCTTTCTTCCTCTCCATCCTTTTCATTCCTTCTTGCTTGCCTGGTCACATTTGCCTGCTGCTCACTTTCTGTTTTGTCTTTCCATTTTAGGCAAAGGAACTGCAGTGGAAAGACGAAGAGCTGAAGCGGAGAGACACCTTCTATAAGGAACAATTGGCCAAGATTGAAAAGAAGGTGAGGCAACATGATCTTTCATCTGCAGTGGCTTTATGTTAGTAGGATCAGAGTAGATAAAAAGAAAAGAGAAACAAGAACCATTGTGCTGAAACTTGGCATTCTTAGCCCCTCAAGCATACCTTTTGGGACTCTCCTCCTTCTCACACACTGTTAATCTGCTTTGAAAGCAGATTAAACCTTTAAAACAGTGCACATATGAAAAGGAACTAGTTCTTAACTGGATTATGTTGTGTGTGTGTTTTTTTTAAAAAAACCTTTTTTAACTTTCAAAGTGTTCCCCTTCGCCCCAATTTATGAAGCTTTGGTTTAAAGCAAAGTTATAGTTTTTAAAATGTCCTTTGTTAAAATCTGTGGCTCAGACAAACACACAGAAACCCAATGAAAGTAACCTCATCTTATTCTACACATATGCTGTACATTAAAGTCACTAATTTATCTATGGAGAAGTCAATAGAACAAAATGTGTTGCATCAAAGTAAACTTTGATGTGTTGCGCTACTTAAACTTTTGAAATGAGCACAATTTTAAAAGGTGCTACCCAGCATCCTTTCAGTGTAAAAATGAGCTTTCGAAATCTAGTTTGTATATTTCTTCCTGTTGTATTTTTTAATACAATGAGTTCTTAAAATGGGAATAATCAAGAATTCAACAGACCATAATGGCATCTGCCTGAGAGTTCTTATAGAAATCATATGTGAAGTTGCTAACTTTCTAGTAAAGATATGTAACTTTCAAAATTAAAAATAAATTTGATGCCAGAGGACTAGGAAGTAGCCAATGTAACACCATTTTTTTAAAAAAGAGAGAGAGGTCTGGGTCATTTGGTTTAATATTTGTTCCAGGTAACATGTTGAAACAGCAATCAGAATAAAAACACATGGCACACTGAGTAACAAGAAGAAAGTGAGCATGGATTCCATAAAGATAAATTGTATTTCACCTATCTTTTAGATTTTTTTGCAAGTGTCTGGAGGCACATTGATAGAAGTGACTTTGCTAACCTTGCATGTTTTTTTCAAAAAGGTTTTTCCATCAAAGTTTCCCAAGTAAATTTAGTAGCAATGGGATAAGAAGACATGTCATCTAATAAGTTGCTAACCAGTTCAAAGACAGGAAAAAAAGTAGGAGTGAAAGAGAAATGTTTTCAATTAATGGAAGTAAGAAGTGGTTCCTTGAGAATCTGTTTTGGGACTGATGCTTTTTCATAAATGAACTTTACTTTGGCCCAAATAGGGAGCTGGCCAAGCTTGTAGATGATATTGAAATGTTTAGAGTGGAAAAAAATAATAATGGTCAAACAAATGGCAAATAAATTTAAGCAATTATAAAAAGATGCGCATTGGGATTAAAAAAAACCCTAACTTCACATTAATGCAATCTAATCTGTCTGTAACTAACCAGAAAAAAGAACTTGAACCATAGTTCATATTATAATGAAAATGTCAACTTTATATATGGCAGCTGTAAAATGGGAAATTTCATGCCAAGGTTGAAAGCTAAAGATGCTATTGTAACAATGTCTATGGTACCATTGCTATTGGAACTATTGTGTACAGTTCTGGTTGTCACAGTTGACATAGGAATTGGGAAAGATTCAGAAGTGGGAATCCAAATAATAAAATGACCAAATTCTTTCTTATGAAAAAAAGCTAAAACGAAACTTAGAGAAAAAGGCAACTGTAGGATGATATGATTAAGATGTACAAAATCACGTATGACATGGAGAAAGTTGTAAGGGAGATTATTTTCTCTACTCAGAATGTTAGAACCAGAGCATGATGGAATGTGCGACTGGAGAAGAAGTGGGTGGAGGGAATGGTGGCAGTAGCACTGCGGTTTTCCATGGAAGAGGCAGCATATTCCAGAGAAAGGCTCAAAACAAGAAACTGTACAATCCTCAATTGGGGGGAAGGAAGGAAAAGGTTCAAGGTAGTCACACCAGAGTATATCTATTAGGTTACAAGGTCTAAAGTGTCTATGATCTTTAGTCTGGAGAGATTCTGTATATTAGGTGTAAGCAAATAAAAAAACTGGATTCTTTTGGATCTTACTGTGATCCTGTTGTCTTCGAGCCTAGACTTGATACAAAAAGCTATCTAATGTAGCTGATTCACAAGAGCTTTAAAACAGACAATAGAAACACTTCTTCATACAATACATAATTAACTTCTGCAATTCATTACTGCAAGACTTGATGGCTACTATTCGGAAAGCTTTAAGAGAAGATTGATTAAATCAAGGGTGTAGCTTTCATAGTCTATTAGTTGTGAAGATTCCATGTTATTTCGTTGTTGGGAGTAGCATCTATTCAAATACAGGTTGCAGGAGGACAGTGGCAGGAGAGTGGTGTGTTTCTTGGTCTTCCTTGGCTTAAAGACACTTCAGAATGTTTGGGTTGGCCATTGTAAAAAACAAAATGCTAGATTTAGGTTGTCATGATCCACTAGGGCTGATCTTATGTTCCTTAGCAAATAATTCCTTCTATTTCATGCCTAGAAGACCCAATGTTTTTAGAAGTATTTATTGAATATTCTGCCTTTATCTATATACCACTAAAACTTGCCTGTTTGTCTATTTGTAACTTTCAATTGAGTGAAGTGGTGTATCATAGGCAATAATTTTTGAGTCAAAGTACTTCACATGAGCTAACTTTAAATAATGCATCCAAAATCTGGGATCCATTATTCCCCTGTGATTGAAATTTCAAGTATCTTCAGACCAGTTGAATTGGCAAAGTTGTGGCCTCTGCAGCATTATCTTGCTGCCATGGTCAGCTACAATCATGTGATTATGATATGTGACACTCCTTGCCAGCTTCCTACAAGCAAAGTCTATGGGGAAGCTGATATGAATTTGGATGTTGGCTCCATTCCCACTTTTTTCACCATGTGTGACCATTCTGTTTAGATAAAGAAGCTATCTGTAAAATGATGACCCATCAGGTAATAGGTTGTCTAGTTTTTTTTTAAAAAAAAGTATGAAGAATAATTTCTAGAGCTTGAAAACAAGAGACTTGTTGACAGGGTTCATACATCAGACTCCTGTTAATGCAGTTGCATTTATATTTTCTGTGTTTCTTTCGGGCAAAAAGGAATAACTAAACCACTGATTTAAAAAAAATTTAAATATGAAGTATATGAGAGCACTGCTGTGTTATGTGTCATGGGACATCTTTGCCACCACTCCCATTTTGCAGTTATGCATCCAATTTAGAAAGAGTAAACAGCAGCACAGTGTAGGAGAGGGCCACAGGGGCATTGCAGACTTCCATTATCCATGATGCTTGTTCTGAAGATTGGGCACTCATGTTTTAAACTAGCAGTGCATGACTTGTGACTCAAAGCAACATATACCATTCCTTCCAACATCTTTAGAATATCGCCAGAGATCCTGCAAATTGCTGCAAAACTATAATTTCTAACGTGACAGAAGGGAACAATTAATTAAGTACTTAGTAATAATATTAACAGTATTTAGGTGAATTTTATGTTGCCATCAGCCCCCCCTTTTTTGTCATTCCAGCCTAGACTATATTTTGGAGTGTAGGCTCTGGCCCCTCAGAGTGGAACAAAGACTTAAATGACAATTATCCCCAAGAGTAATATAAACTGCATATTAGTTTTGACTACCATCGTATTAGGGAAAAGACCACACCAATTCAGTACTAGAGTACATGTTTTGCATTACAAGATGTTCCAGGCTCAGTCTCCCGCAATTGCATTTAGAAGGAGCTCAGACAATTGGGAAAGAGAAGTATGAGATTTTTAAAAAAAAATAAACCAATTTATTATCTGATACTGCTGGGCTTTATGTATTAAACAGAGATTTTGCAATGAAAATTTCAATCAATCCACCGCACTTTGTAATGATCACAGTTCATAAGTGAATTCAAGATTTTATCCTATTCGAAGTGAATTCAGGATTTCAGGATTTTATTTTATTCAAAAAAATCTATTTTTGTGAATAAAATTTATTCATACTATGCTCTTTTTTGCATGCTTCTCTCCAGATTTGTATTTTATAGGGTAGATACGAGAGAGAATATGTATATATGCACCAGTTACTTAACTGGCTATTGAAGAAATGTGTCAAAGTTGCCATGTTCTCATCACAATCCTTTTGGTTTATTTTAAAGAAGCTTGATTTCCTGTTCTCACTTCATTTTTTTTTACTTATAAGCTGACTGAAAGCTGCAAACCTATAAATGCTTTTTTAGGAGGAAATCCCATTGAATGTAGCCTATTTCTGAAGAATTTTGCATGGAATTAAGGCTATAAGATTTTAAAACAGGACAAATTAAGAAGCTTGACCATGGTGTTATAATTAAAAGCTATTAGCCCGATTGCATGTCATTGGTAATTATTTTATTTATTTCCTTTTTTCAAATTCTGTGCACAATAACAAGTTTGTATTTGGGGTGGAGGATATTTTCACACCATATGGTAGTGGATTGTTTCTTGACCCTTCAAACACCAGCATTTCACTGGCAATAAAATAGAATGCCTCCAACTGCTGTAGAATGAGCCTGAATTAGAGTTGGTGATGGAGGGGGCTGGCAGAGGAGAGAGATGTACTTGAAGGAGTGTAATAAAGCTTAATTGTATTAGTTCTGAAAAAGATTTTTTGATCTTCAAGGATAATTTTATTCCAGTAATAGTTGGAAAGAGAAAATGCAGCACCGAACAATCTTTTATATTAGCTGCTGCTTTTTATATTATTTTGCTTTCATTTGTTGAATGCACATAGACCTTGACAATTTTTTCCCCTGCTTCTATAGATACTGCTTTAGAATTTTTAAGAGAGAGAGAGAGAGAGAGAGAGAGAGAGAGAGAGAGAGAGAGAGAGAGAGAGAGAGAGAGATATTCACAAGATACTTCACACTGAGGAGGAAACTTCTGAATAGTTGTCATGGTTGGATTTTTCAGAATTAAAAGCTAGACTCTTCTGGATTTGGGATGTGATTGGTGGAGGGAAAGACACAGGGATGAATTAGTATA